GACGGCTGGGGCAGGCTGGGTCTTGCCCCGTTGCCTCTGCCCCGAACGCCCAGGAGGGTGATTTCGCTCCTGCTGCAAGGCGGCAGAGGACGGGCGGGGAAAGGCCTCCGCAAAGCCACACCCATTGGCACAGGTGCGTGCAAGCAGCATCGCCTTCCCCACCCATCCCATCGTGCAAAGGCAGAGTCCCTTATTTGGCCACCTCGTTCCGGGCTCTGTGGCGCTCATTTAATGGCTGTTCGACGTTACAACAGCACTAAAGGACCGTTTTTCACACTTGCGACCGTTGTAGGATCCCCCCACGGGCACGTGACCAAAATCCAGAGGCTCGGCAATTGGCATGTACTCACGACTGTTGCAGGGGTCACGTGATCCCAGGGAAGTCGAATTCGCTTAACAACCGAGTGACTAACTTAACCACAGCGGCAAGAAGACTCATCAAACAGAACAAAACTCGCTTCAGTAATGTCTTGCTCAGCAACAGGTACTATGGGGGCTCCATTGAGGTCATAATTCAAGGACTGCCTGTATTTCTTCCAGAATTATGGGTAGTCCTCAACGTACGACCAAAACTGGGACCGGAAGCCTCCGTCGTTAAGTGAAGCAAGGGTTAAACCATCCATGCCCAATTTTCTCGGTTGCAATTATTTTGCTTATGGCCAAAAACGTTTAAAAAGCACATCAGAATTTTGTTCTCAATATGTCATCAGATACCAAGCTCATTTTACCATATGTGGTGGACACGTGTAGAGGCGAAAAGATACTGGACTAGAATCCACACATGGTTGGAAAAAATGACAAAAAGACATATTGATTTTAAACCAGAGATATTTTTATTGGGTATTTTGCCAGAAATATACAGTAGAGAATTGAAATGTTTGATTGCAAATGTATTAACAGCAGCTAGAATTGTATTTGCTAAAAACTGGAAAAATGAGAAAATACCAATGCAGGAAGAAGTTATTAAGAAAATAATGGAATGTGCTGAAATGAGTAAAATGACATTTGAAATGAGAGAACTAGAAGATAAACAATGTTATAAGATATGGGATTTGTTTGATCAATGTAACTGGAAGACGGTTTTTTGTTTTGTCTGTGTATGTTTGTTTAAAAAATAAAAAATTCTTTACAAAAAAAAAGAATTTCGTTTTCAATGAGGTTTCAGTCACGAGGTCCTGAACCCATCAGCTGGGAAGGCCGGGATGACGTGGGAGTCTTTGCAAAAAAAAAACCTCCTCCCATCCCCAGCAGCCCAGCCGCGTCCGTTGCTGAGTCACTTTTTCTGGCAGGGCGTCTGGCCGCAAACTTTCACCCCCCCCCCCGTCCTGCCTCTCGCCTCAGCCGGGGGTCTCCTTGGCTGGCGGGGTGGGAGCTGCCCACAGACCCTCCCCCATGATGAAAAAATCAGATTTTAGTCCCTGCAGGAAGATCCTTCAGGAAAAACCTCTCCTCTCCTGCTGAATACAGACTAGGCGAGTTGGAAGGGACCCGGGAGGTCTTCTAGTCCACCCCCCTGCTTAAAAGCCTCTAGGGATGGAGCCCCCACAGCTTCTGGTGGCAAGCAGTTCCGCTGGCTAATTGTTCTCCCTGTTAGGAAGTTTATCCTGAATGCTTCTCTCCTGGTTAGTTTCCCTCCGTTGCTTCTCGCCCTGCCTCCGGGTGCCTAGGAGAAGAGCTTGACCCCCTCCTCTTCTTTGGGGCGGCCCCTCAAATATTATAAGACTGCTATCCTGTCCCCCCCCCCCCAATTCCTCTTTTTCTGTAGATTGGCCATATCTAATTCCAGCAACCGAACTTGTTAGGTTTTAGCCTCCATCTTTCAGCAAAGTTTCTTTTTGAAGTGTTTCTTTTTTAAAGAAAAATAAAAAAAACCCCAAAGGTAGCAAAATCCCAGCATTTTCGCTCCCCTTTAACTCCGCCCCTCTTGGAGGGTCTTCCCTTCGGCCCAGGGAGCAAGGCAGGAGGCCAAACCGGCTTGGATCCCAGGAAGGATCGATCAACTACTCTTGGGAACCCCAAGCTGGGTTGGGTGGGAGACCACCAGGAACCTCAGGGCTGGAGGCTAAGCTGGAAGGGTTGCAAAAGCATTTGGGAGAAAGTGGCCAGTCGTGTCGAGGTTGCTGTTGCTGACAACGTGGCCGTATCTTACGTGATCCCCAGAAGTCACTGGAGTTCGTTTCCCGAGCAGGGAGGGTCCTTCTTCATGCCCTCAAGGGGCCCCTCCAATCTTAGCAGCCTAAGCCAGGCGGCGCCTGCCTTTCCAGATCTCTCGCAACCGAAATTCCCAAGGGGTTGTCGTCACTTTCACACACACACAAACACAAAAAGAAGAAAGGTGTGAACAGGTGACCTCCGAAGGTTATTCACAAGGAGGAAGTGGCGTCTTTTTGTGCGTTTGTGTTGGTGTGGCTTTTCTTTTCTCTTAAAGGCCTCTAGTCAGCTTCTCTGGAAACTCTTTGTGGTTTCCTGTTATCTGAAATTATTTCTTTAAAAAGAAGCCTGCTCCCCCTCTGGCCCTCCCCCTCCCCCCCTCCGTCTGGCCTCCGGAGAGGAAACCGAGGCAGGGCCGCCGCATTTCGAAAGAGAGCAGCTGGGGGATCCGTGGGGCATCTCCTTCCCCGAAGTTGCTCGCAGACGTACGTAGGCAGCCTCTGGCCTTTCCCGCCTGTGGAGGCGGCCAGTTTTTCAGCTCCTCTTCCTGACCCCCCCCCCCCAGGTTGTGGGGCAACGGCAGAGCAGCCCCCGCTGAGGTCAGCAGGCTGGCCTTCCCCAGGGCTCGTGGCGGGGGGAGGGGGAGAAGAATCTGCCAATTGTTGAAGTTGTGGCTGTCTTCTTCCTCTTCCTCTTCTCTCCTCCGATTTTGATTCAACGCTATTTCCTCCAATTCCTCCTCTTCCTTCTTGATTCCCCCTAATTTTTATTCAGTGTTGTCATCGTTTTCTCCTCTCTTCTCCTTTTTCTCTTCCTTTTCCTCCTCTTCCTCCTCTCCCCTAATTTTTATTTAACGCTTCCTTCCAGTTCCTCCTCTCTTTCTTTCCCCTAATTTTTACTCAGTGTTGTCCCCATTCTCTTTTCCCCTCTCCTCCTCCTCCTCCTCCTCTGACATCATTCTTATCCTCTCCTTCTTCCAAAGGTGTTTTTCAACCATCCGAATTGGTCTCCTCGCCATCTGAAGGTCTCTCCAGGCTCCGAACCCCCCAGGACGCCACACGCCCGGCTCCCTTCCACCCTCCGAGCGAGAGGCATCTCTGCCTGGACGAGAGGCCCTAAGCGCCCCCCCTGCAAGTCCTTGGCACCCACCAGGCAGAAAGCTGGAAGCGACTCTCACCATGAGTGACTTTTGGCACAAGCTGGGCTGCTGCGTGGTGGAGAAAGCGCAGCCGGTGAGTCCTAAGGGGCCGTAGGTCTCCCATCCCAGGGACGGGGCGTGGCCGGGCACGGAGGTGCCAGCTGGGGTTGGGGAGGTCTTCCCTCCCTCCTTCCTCCCCTCACCGAATCTCCCCGGGTTCCATCTCCCACAACAGCAGAGGAAAAGACGGCGGATCGACCGCAGCATGATTGGCGAGCCCATGAACTTCGTCCACCTCACGCACATCGGCTCCGGCGACATGGTGAACGAGGGACTCCCCGCCGTGGTACGCCTTCGCTCACCTTTGCTCCTGGGGACGGGGCTGAGCCTTCCAGATCCAAACAGGGAAGGGGGGGTCCCCTATTAACTCCTGGGAGCCCCCACCCGGAGAGGGCGTTAAAATGCTGCTCCCAAGGAAAGAAACTCCACGGCCCACAGAAAGCGAGCCTTTATTGAGAATTTTGTACATAGTAAGCATTCACATTGTGGATTACAATAATTAGATATAGTACATAGAATTGTTTATACTTGTCTGAGCTGCTTAATTGTTTCTGGTGTTTGCTTTTAATTTCCTTGCTTTATCTCGGTGGCCTTTAGGCAGACATGTATGTATAAGGTCTTAGACTAATCATTACCCAATACTCAAGTCACAGTTTATTCCCACATAGGGGACCCCAGTGCTTTGTGGGGAAGGGCCTGAGGCTGAAGTGGCGGGTTGGGACCCCAGGTTTGGTGATGTAAGCCCAAGCAGAGGAGGAGGAGGAGGGAGATCGGGGTGCTGGTTCTCCCTCCAAAGCAGGAGCAACCGACCTTGGCCGCTTTAAGACTGGCGGACTTCAACTCCCAGAATCCCCCCCCCGGCTGCCTGGGGAATTCTGGGAGTTGAAGTCCACAGGTCTACAAGTCCTCTTTCGGAAAGGATGGCGTCCACTCCGAAGATCCAGACACAGTCCCTAAATATCTTCTACTCTTCCCCTGCAGTCCGGAGCCGTCCAGGAAATGCGATCCAAATGCGGGCGAGAACGACCTTGGAGCAATTCCCACATTTTATAACATTGAGGAGATCCCCCCCCCCTCCGTGTAAGTATGGGACGGGTTGCAAAAGCCACCGCCAGAGCCGGTAACGGCTCCAAGAGGACTAGCTGCTTGATTTGCAGTGGGATCTTATTCCCAGCCAAAGGGGCCACCGAGGCTTGCGTCAACTTGAAGAAATGGGAGATTTCTTTTTAAATAACATTTTAGTTTTCGTGTTTGAACTATTTTTTTTTAACCTGTTTCATAACTTGTAAGATGCCAGAGTCGCCTCGTAGAGGACGGCGTAAGGATTTAATAAAATGGAATAATAAGCCATCATTGATAAGAGGGAAGATTTTCTTCCTGGCAGCGGGGGCAGAAAGTTAGATTTTTTTGGGGGTGGGGATCCATTCTGATCCCATCCAGCAGATCTTTCGGATCCTCAGGGCTTCGGGGCAGCTCCTTGCAAAGCTCTTCCAAATGTTGTTGTGTTTTCCCTTTCGTAATTGTGCCTTATTGCCAACATACAGGGAGAAAGTCTTTCACGTTTATTATCCTCCTCTCTTTTTCTTTTCTCACAGGCTAATGAATTACAAAAATAACCTTTAAAGAAAAAAAAATGCATCTGTGCCTCACTTGAATTTCCTGTTTGGTCTTGTCGAAACGGGTTGCCAAACTCTAAACCATTGAGTGAATTAGTCACTGCATAACTTATCCTTTTTAAAAAAAAAAAAAAATTGTAAGAGCAACAGCCCCGACGTCTGTCACTCTGCACATGCCCAGTTGACTGTTTTTTTTCTTCCTGGCATTGTTCATTTGGCCGCGTTCCTTTGGGCACCCCCCCCCCCCCCCCCCCCCCCCGCCTTGGCGAGCAAAGCACGGACAATTTTTGCCTGGGCAGCCTTGCAAAGAATCGTAGGTTTTTTTTAAACCCAGAATTGACCCACAATGTTTCCATGACAACAAATAATCGACATGTTGATAAACTGAAGAAGCCATCAGACAGAATAAATTATTCTTGGTGTTTTCGCCCAAGTTTCTCCACTGGACGTGGCCTGGCCACAATGCAAGACACTGTAGGTGCCATTAATGGATGCAGCTGCCATCTTGCAGAACGATCCCTCCAGAGGTTCTGGGTTCCTTGCAGACCCCCAGGCCGAGGCAGTGGGTGCTGAAACAGGGTGGGCAGCCTTCCTGGTGCCAGCGAAGACTTTCCAGGACGCGGAGTTCAAAAACCAACAGCAATGTGGTGCCTATGATTTGTTGTTTTTATTATTATTATTATTATTATTCTGGTTGGTTGCATAGTCAGCCAGATGTTCAGACTGGATTTGGTGGGCGTTTTTGTTTTTTTTTGGTCTACCTACCAAATTTATCTGCTGCCTATCTCGCGGTTCGAAGTGACTCTGAGTGTCTTTTTTCCTCGCAAATCTTTCTGCCCTAAATCAATCATCCCTCCGCTCTGGGCACAAAAATGGGGATCCAGAGAAATCCATCCCACAGGGTGGCCAAGACGTCGGGATCCAGAGACAAGTGGCTCAACACTCCCGCAAGCCAGGAGGAATTCGCTCTCGGCCCCCTTCATGGATTGAAGACCCCCTACCCGTAAATGGAGCAGCTGGGGCGGGGGCAAAATTACAACCAGGATCAACTGGATCCCTGCAAGCTTGTAAAATGGGACTGGTGCTGGCCTTTGTCCGAAAGCCCCCCCTCCGTTGGATCCTGGATTATGTGGCTCTTTTTTCCAGCCAGACTTGGGTTAAGCATGTGGAGGCCGCAGTGTGGAAATCCTGCTTCCGATGCTTGTTTCCCAGGTTCGATTCTCCCGCGCTTTCCGTCTCGCTCAACGACGGACCTGCTGATTTTTAAAAATGGAGGAAAGAGGCACCCCCAGAGCCGAAACAAGACTTTCAGACGGCCCAGCCTGGAGGAGGAGGGAAAAATATACACATTTCAGATTCCAGCCTCAGCTTTTTCAGCATCCTGATATGTGAGGTTGTGGAAGGTTTCTCCACCCACTGTGGGATTTCTTCATTCTCTGTCTGAAACTGGAGTTGCAGTCCGCATGACGCCATCGGGCTGAGCCTGGGAATCCTAAATGGATTCCCACTGCAACAAAACCCACACAATTATCTCTTCCTTTGTGTCTTTAGCTCCATCCAGTCGCCCTGGACCCCAAATTAAGGGGATTACAGGGTTGGGAAAAGGGAGTTTCTTGGTGTCTCTTGTGTTCCTTGTAAGTAGGTCAGCTCTGAAAAGAAAACCTTCAGAAGCCAATAAACTTCTCACTTTCCACCCCCCCTTTCCACCCACCCCGGCACGAGAACAACTAGGTGTAAAATTAAAGGTGTCCGTTTTTTTCTCCTCTTTGTTTCCTGTGTCTGCTGACCAAGCAAAAGTTAGATTTCCAAGCAGAGCAGCTGTTTGGCTACCAACATTTTTAATCTTCGGGGTTTTAGGGTTGCAATGTCCGTTATTGCTACGACATGTTGGCAGTGGATGAGGGGATCTATAGTTTAAGTTACCTGAAAAGCATCTCTTTTTTCCCCCCCCCCTCCAAAAATTTAGCTGATGGGTCGATGTTTCAAACACAACACACACAAATAGAACTTTCGCCATGTTTATTATTATTATTCCACCCCCACCCCACCCCAGCTGGTCTGGGGTTAAAAATGATGGCTTTGGGGGGAAAGAATAGCTGGGCTGTTCGATTTGTCTTTTTATTAGCCAGAAAATTGTCTTTCTTCTTTTTGCAAATAAGAAAATGATCATGTGTGTGTGTGTGTCTGTGTGTGCGCATGAAGGGAGGGAGAAAATATATATTATTTGAATATAATGTTGCAATTGAGACACTGAAATCTGGGAGAAAGGGAGAGCTGTATTGTGCTGGTTTGGTCTTTTTTTTAAAAAAAAAACACCCTGTTTTCTAGGCTAAGTGCAACAAAAGAATTATGCAATCTATTTTGTATGTTTCTCCCTCATTTGCACAAAGTGTAATGTATGCTTGGAAAGAGAAAATTAAATGGCAAAGGATAATCTTTTGATTTGTTTTTGGGTTTTTTTTTTGAGAGGGCATTTTAACAGGAATTCAGGCAGCCTGTCCCTTCTAAACTTGCTTCTTGCTCCAGGGATGGGCCCAGGAGAATGTGCGAACACGCTACCATGACTTTCCTTCTTAGGTATATTTAGAATTCATTCAGGGACGGGAGTTGAAAAGAACCAGCAAATTTAGGACTGAACAGGCACTGCTGTTCACTGGCTGTAATGTAATAAATCAAATTTGCAACTGAAGGAGATGAACACCAGACAAAGAGAAAGGCTACAGGGTGAATACATAGAATATATATATATAAATAAAGAGTCACATTTCTGATGCTGGAGTGAAAGATAACATGCAGGATAACAGATTATTTCTTTGAACAGGAGGAGACCCTACAATCCTCCGCCGCGTGCCTTCGATCCAATAGAAGCAAACTGGCTGTAGGAACCAGCATTTTATTAAGTCTTTATAGCACAAAGTGGGGGGGGGGGCTCTTTGGAAAATTCTTGCCTGATAAGCTAAAAATCCTTTTTTTTTTTTTTGGAAGGGTCTTTTGAGAAAGACGAGGGAAATGCTACCAGCAAAAAAAGCAGGTTCTTTGCCCAAACCAAGGGTCCTTCCAATTCCTTGAAAATAAACTCATTCGCTTTGTTAACAGGGGGAAAAAAATTGGGCAGGGGTCTTGTGAATTGTATCGGCTGGTCAATCTCGGTGTTGCCTCGGTCAGGCTGCTCCGCTCCGGCGTCTTTTGAACCCGTGGTCAGTGGCTGCTCTTTACTTGAATTGTTTTCGACTGAAAACATAAGAAAAGAGGTTAAGAAGCAATCCAATCCCACCAGTTTGGATTATGTGATCGATTAATTGATGTTGGAAGGGACCTTAGAGATCTTTTAGTCCAACCTTGGCCAACTCAGGCAGGAAATGGAGGTTGGCCAAGGGAGAAGGTTCAAATATTCTCATTTCTCTTTTTTCTCCAATTTAGGCCTTGGTTGAACAAGTATTTTGACCCAGGAAAAATGCACATCAAATACTGATGAAATATTTTTCAAGTATCAGGAGAACAGGGGGGAGGAACCACTATTGTGAAGATTAGTAGGGAAGGAGCATCTCTTCTGCCTCAAATGTCAACAAGGTTGTTTAAAATATATATATTCAGGCCTTTTGGTCAGCTCAAAACCCTTGTGGTTAAGGCAAATTCGACAAGCGAACCGAAAAACATGTTGACCATGAAATGATGGGAGTTGACTCAACATGTTTTCTGTAATCCGGGGTTTTTAAGGTCTACTATTATCCTTTACAGACAGAAAAACCAATTTTATTTTTCTTGGAAAGGCAGGAGGTAAGGATATTACGCTCGCTTGGGTTGAAGCGGGTGCGTGAACTTGGCCGATGCAATTTTGCCATCCGGGATTTATAACTTGGGTATAAACCGGGGCTCAGCTGGTTCACCCAGAAACCAAGACAGAATAAAAGGGAATTTGGGGAAACAGCCAGATTTGAGCTAAAAAGGAGAAAAAGCTTCTCCCCCCCCCCTCTTCTCTCTCACTCAGGAGGGTGTCAGAATTGGAGAAGGAAATGAAATATTCCAAAATTAATTCTCAGAGGTAAAGGAGACCACAGGACGTTCCCTAAAATATAGGAAAAATGTGTTTCAATTGTAGAGCACTACTCTGAATGTCGAAAAAGCCCGTTGCCAGCAGACCCACAAAATTGCCACATTAAAGACTGTACATCAGTGATGTCCAAGCTTGGCAACTAAGACCTGTGGACTTCAATTCCCAGAATTCCCCAGCCAGCTGGAAATTTTGGGAGTTGAAGTCCACAAGTTTTAAAAGCTGCCAAGATTGGACATTGCTGTTGTGCACTGTTTTTAAGTGTAAAAAGGGAATTTCAGGATGGCAAAGATTGTTGCAAAATCGCACTTCTGGGACTTATTTGAGACCTCTGCACTTGGCACTTGGTTAGCTTAAACTATGGTTTGCTTCTTTTAGCCCACTTGGCTCAGTTACCATTCTGGGGATCAGATGAGGTCAAGGATGGGGTTAATTCAGGGACCAGGCTGTCTGGATCGAGCAAACGCCATTTCTGGGTTACAAACCACAGGAGAAAAATCACCTTTCCCCAGATTTTAACTCTCCTCGTGATTGGCTCCCCAGTCAAAGTGGGGGGGTCCCTAGTGAAAGGGGACGCTGCTCCTGAGCATGTGCAAAGTGCAACCGAGACCGCCGGCCTCCCTCCGCACCTTCTTCCCGCTGGGGAAGGCCTCCTTCAGGCTGCGCCAGAGCGCCTTCAGCCCGCCGTTGACCTGCGCCCAGAAGCGCCGCCGTTTGTCATCCTGGTCGCTCTGGATGTCGCGCAAGGCGCACAGGTGCATCTGGCCCAGCTCGCACCGGGGCGCCAGCAGGTCGCACTGGTGCTTGTGGCGGTTGCAGGCGCAGACGGCGTAGCTGCAGACCACCCGCTCGAAGCGGAGCAGGTCGTACTGCGCGGGATCCAGGCGCACGTCCGGCAGGGCGTAGGTGATGTCGCGCACGCGGGCCATGCTGCCGGCCGCGCAGTTGCAATGCCAGGCGCTCCACTCCTGCCAGGCGTAGCGCGTGTCGCCCACGATCAGCACCGCCTCGTGGGCCGTGGAGCCGGCCGGCCGGGTCCCCGGAGGGGTGGCGGGCACCAGCGGCAGCTCCTTGGTGGCCTCCGCCTCCGCCTCGGACGGGTTGACGTAGCCGGCGGCCACCGTGGCCTTGGCGGCGGCGGGCAGCTTCTCCAGCAGCTCGGGGGGCGCCGAGACCAGCGCCCCGTCCTCCGCCTCCTCCTCCTCGCCGAGCGGCCCCTGCGCCAGCCCGCCGGCCGCCCACAGCCAGCAGCCCAGCAGCGCCAGCGCCAGCCGCCGGGGGGCCATGGGGCTCCGGGGACCCTCCGTCCTGGCCGGGTCGGGCTCTGGGCCGGGGGCGGCAGGGGCTTCGCTAGGCAACCGGCCCGCCGAACAAAGGAGCGGCTGGAACGCGGGGAGGGACGCCCCCTCCTCCGCCTGCTGGCCGGGCTCCGGGGCGCATCCTGGAGGGCAGCGCCAAGAGGGGCCAGGCGGGCCGGGGGCCTCCTTCCCTCCCCTGCCCCTCTCTCCCTTGCCTTGAACTCGGGGACGGCTCCCCACCTGCCTGCCCCATCCGTCCCCCCGGGGCTGCGCTCGACCCCCAGCCCGCCCGCCAGGTGATTGTCCCGGCCTCGCCCCCTCCCCAATCTCTCCGGACACGTCAAAGGGTCTCCCTCGCCCCCCGCCCCCATATGAGCCCGGCAGTCACGGGGGGGGGGCTTTGCTCTGTCTCTTGGGGTCCGAATTCCGACGGTGGGGTGGGCGGTGCCCTATGGGCAGGATAGGGAGGCGGCCCATAACTCTGGGGAGGCGAGGGCAGCGATGGCGTTGAGACTGCTTTTTGTATCCATTGAAAAAGAATAGCAAGACAGAGGGGAAGCGTTGAGAGTGGGAGGGTCCCCAGAGGCCATCCAGCCGGTCTGGGCTATTGGAAGGGCTTCAGGAGTTGCTGCTGGACTGATGTAGCCTGAAAAGAGAAACAGAAGGAGAAGGTGGAAACTTCAGACCCAGAATAAGCTGCTTATTTCTCTCCTGCTAAAAAGCCTTTTTGGAGGGAAGATGAAGAGGCCAGAAGCTGCTGGACTCCAGCCTCCATCATTCCCAACCTGGGCGGCTGGACCCGATTGACAGGCCTTGTGGTTTCCCCTGTCCACCGGCGGTTGAGCGACCCCATGAATTTAGGATTTTCTCCCCTAAATGACTTTCCTGCCCCTAAGGAGGGTGTTCATTTTTTGCAAAGCTTGACCGTATCCCCAGAGCATGTGAAGAGGGCACACTCTGCAAGGCAGGGAGTTTTGTGCTCCAGCCAGAGGCCGGAAGCCCCTTTGAGAAGGGGAACAAACTGGACAGGCCAAAAACTCAGACCGTACTCACTGCTGGACACAGGCTGGGATGTGCATCTGTTGAAGGGGGACGATTTGGCCCAGACCATCCAAGCTGTCTACGAACTTCACTTTCTGGCTGAATTTGGAACTGTGGAAAGGAAGAGGGTGAAGGGTGGGTTGGTGTTGGCACTGCCATCCTTGTGCCTGCAGGGCAACTGTCTCTTTTTTTCCCCATCCTTCTAGTGGCGAATGGATGCCCGTCTAGCCCGTCTTGGCATCTTACACCCACCTGATAAAAGGCTTAAACACGGTCATCAGGGCTTTGATGTACCACGTGGGATGGACGATGACCAAAGATTTCAAATTCTTCCGAAGCCTGAAAATAAAATGGAAAGGGACGGTGGAACTCCATGCCACAGGATTTTGATATCCTGGGTTGGTTTGTCTTCCATCTCTCAGGAGGAAAAAAAAAACTGAGTAAAACTGGAGATAGCATGCTTTCTAAGGCGTTTCTGAATTGTTCAGCCTGTGTCCCTCCCCTTGTCTGGGGCTCTGAATCTGTTGCAGAAAAGGCAGGGTGTGTGTGTGTGTGTGTAAATGCCATTTGAAAAGCAGGAATAGTTTCTGCCAGTATACAGAATGGTTTTCTCCCCATATTTCTATTCCTTTGGTCACTTGAGACGGGGCGCTTGAGTGCCACTCAATGTCCTGGATGTCAAGACGGCTGAACAATCCCCCCCCCCCCGCCTTTCTAAAGGCCTCACCTTGAAGAATTCAGAATTAAAAGGGGGGGGGGGAAAGTGCTGCCGTTTAATGTCCCTGAGAGACATTTGGGGTGTCTTTCAGGCACACAGCCCTGCTTTGAAAATGCTATTCCCCCGTTTCATGCCACGCGAAAACTCTGCCAATGCCCGTCAAAAGGCTCAAAGCGAATCTCGGCTTTGCAAAGGAGCCTTTAAAACAAAAAACTAAAAAAAGCCAACAACCCATCTCATCAGATTGAAGCCAGATTCACAGGCCATTCTGGGGGGAAAAAAAACTGAAAATATCAGGGTGCGGGGAGGAGCTCCTTCAAATGGCTTTGCTTTCATTTGGAAACTGCTGCTCTTACCGTCGGTCGATGGCCTGATAGCACTGCTTGATCCAGGTAAAGGATGGGAAGCGGCTCCGGGAAGTGGCGCCATTCAGACACACCAGCATGTAATTCTCGGCGACCATCAGCTCCAGGGTTCCTATTATGTACCTGCAGGGAATGATAAAAGAGGCTGGAGTCCATTTCCTGCCTTTTAGCTTAGAAAAAAAAATCTGATTTAATCTTCTCCTGCAGCACCAGAACAACCTGAATGGAAATATAATAGCTGGGGAATATACAATTTTTCTTTCTTTCTTTCTTTCTTTCTTTCTTTCTTTCTTTCTTTCTTTCTTTCTTTCTTTCTTTCTTTCTTTCTTTCTTTCTTTCTTCCTTCCTTCCTTCCTTCCTTCCTTCCTTCCTTCCTTCCTTCCCTTCCCTTCCCTTCCCTTCCCTTCCCTTCCCATTTCTTTTTTGTTTTGTTTTTTTCCTTTCCTCTTTCCCCTTTCCTTTCCTTCCTGTCCCATCCTGTCCCCTTCTGTTCTTTTCCTTCCTTCCTTCCTTCCTTCCTTCCTTCCTTCCTTCCTTCCTTCCTTCCTTCCTTCCTTCCTTCCTTCCTTCCTTCCTTCTTTCGACACTCAGGATATTTTACCTTTCCTCCTTTCCGTTCCTTTCCTTCTTTGTGTATAAAACAACAGACAGCTCTGCCTCAATTTCCTTTTCCAGGTTCAGTTCGTGGGGAGGAGGCAATCATACGGCAAACTTGTAGTAGCAGGCAGCTGACACACAAACACACACACCCCAAATGTGAAGTGTTGACACACTCTTGGGCACTACCCCAGGGCAGAATCTCGGCTTGCTGCAACTTGCATTTTCAGCTGGAAAACCAGCCCTGCCTCCAGATAATCAGCCCGAAAGATTATTTTTATTTTACTTCACTTTTCACTCATCCGAGTGCTGGCTAACTACATTTAAAAACAATAGCCGTGGTTTCTTTTCCAGAAAGAAAAGTGCTTCTCCAACTTCTTCTCTCCAGCTCAGGTAGAGGGACAGGTGGAAGTTACCTGAACAGATTCTCCATTATGTAGGGGTAATTGGGGACGCTGCTTTCGGGTAAGTAACAAGAAGCAAAGACGAGAACGGCGTTCAGACCTTCCCCGCAGTAACCTGGGGAAAAGAAAGGAGGGCAGGGATGAGGCCACCATGCAGGCTTGTTCCGTAGGGTCAGAGCCTCCTTTCCTCTTGAACAAACCAGGAATCCTCCTCTTTTAACAACCCCGTAAGGCCTTGCTGGGGGGAGTCTCAGCAACTGGATGGAGCTGAGTGTTTACTGGCTGGATGCCCTTCCTGTCACCGGTACGGAGTTTTTTCCCAGTGTACCCAGAGGGAGGAATATATGCTTCCACTCAATTTAACAAACCAGGAATGAGGGTTCCAAGTTTAGGTCACCCTTTTCCTCTTGCCCGGGGTGTGTGTGTGAGATTTACCTCCATGGGAGATCACCCTCGTGTAAGGCTCGATGGTGCTTAGATCCACTTTGTGCTCGTGGTCGTCTCCCAGGAAGATCCGCCAGAGCCGTCCATCGGGACCCTTCGTGTCCACCACGCGGCCGCTGCAGAATTTCTCGGGCAGGTTGGCCTCCACCCGTCTGGCCTGCGGGAGGTCATCTGGGAGGAGGCAGGGAGAGCGGGCATCAAATCCCAGCGGCATAAAACCAGGAAGGGACCGGATCTTTGCCAGCTCTGGGATCTTAAAAACGGCAGGCCAGCCGCCCCCTCGTGCTGCTTCCTGGAGACTTGAACGCGGGGCCTCACCTTCCCATTCGAATTCGTGCCCGCTCTCCGGGCCCTCTTGGAATTCGCTTTCCGAGGGCGTCTCCAGCTCATCCAGGTTGATGTCTAGGCTGTCGTCCGGGGTGCTTTCGGGGACCTCCCCCGATTTGACCGAGCCCTCGCTGAGATCCGGGGCCTGGAGACGCTTCCTCATGTGTCTCCGGCCAGAGAGTTCCAGGGTATTGGAGGCGACTGCAGAAGAAGGGAAGGGTTGTAAGGCAATCTCTTGCCCTGGGTGGTCAGGGGTAGAGTGCCTTGAGCAGTGGAGGGTCCACGAAGAACCCCCCCCCAAAAGGCCGTGTTTTTCCTGAATCTTACTTGGACTCAGTTCCGAACTGGAAGGTTCTAGATCTTCCTCAGAGGTTTCCTCCGGCAAAGGCCTGCAAGAAAGAATCTGGATGTTTTCGGAACTAAACCCAGATCTCCAAAACCTTGGCTTGGGGGAGGGGGAAAAAAAATCAAGAAATCTAAAGAAAACCTTCGGATGATGACTTGATCGCTATATGAAGCTATCCATAGCCCTATAAATTCTCTAGATAAATAAATATGTCAATTCAATCTACCCAAGGGATGATAAGGACTCTAACCTTGGGCGCGGGGTTGGACTAGAAGACCTTTAAGGCCCCTTCCAGCCCTAGAACTCTATGCAGCATCGAGCAGGGCTCTCGCACAAGGAAACCTCTAATACAGGGGTTCCCAAACTTGGCCACTTTTAAGACTTGTGGACTTCAACTCCCAGAATTCTCCAGCCAGCGTAGAGAATTCTGGGAGTTGAAGTCCGCAAAGTTGCTAACTCCATGGTTTGAGGAGCGCTGCTCTAATATTTTTCATTGTAGACACTTTGCAAGTTTGCAATTGGCTTCAGTTTAAGCCGCCTCAGATAATCCGGTTTAATATTTATCAAAGATGTGGGGGGAAGAAACCAGCAGGAATTGGAAAGACAAGTGAGATGCCTGCCTGAATCCCAGCCAAGGGAACTTTTTTTTGGTATTAAAAGGGTAGACTGCTCTTGACCATGGAGTCCCCCTTACCGTGGGAATTCGTCATCCTGCCATTCTTCTCTCAGTTCCATGTCTTGGATGTTCCCCGCAGGGTCCGTGGCCTCCGTGGCTTCCTTCTTAAGCCTGCGCAGGCAATAAGAGTGAGCAAATTTCTCACCTGCCCTCTCAGCCTCATCGCAGGCTGCGATCTCACCGGTACGGATGCGGTCAACCCAGTGCCCTGGTGTTCCGCTCAGTTTGAAGGCTGGCCTCTTGGGTTAAGTCCTGGCTCATGTCAGGGGTGAACCCCGAGAAGGGATTCAGGCCATCAGGAAGTGCTTTCGTGAAGGCAATTGCAGGTCAGAGGGATTCCTGAAGGTCATTTAGTCCGTCCCGTGCTCAGTGCAGGGAAAACATGCCCCCCTTCCCCAACCAACCATCTCATTCCTGCCTGAGCAGGGGGGGGGGTTGACTAGAAGACCTCCAAGGTCCCAACTCTGGTATTCTTGTGGGGCTGAGTCCACTCTCCAAAACTTTGGCGGTTTCTTTGAGCTTGGAAAGCTCCCCCTGTAATGTCCCTCCCAAACCTGTGCCTCCATTTTCACTTCTACTCCCCACTCCTCTCTGGGGCTGGATGGGAGAGTAAATGTGTCCCCCACCTCTAATTGTTTGAAGGAAGTGAAAAAAATCGAAAGAGAGAATAGTTTGTTTGTTTTTTTCAAGAGGTGTAGAACCTCCAGCTTCAGCAGCAGTTGATCTTAAAGGGCGAGAAGGGAAGGCTCTTCCTTTCCAGACCTGGGGGCATTGAACAGCTGGAAGTTGGTGCCTTGCCCAGCTGCAAAAGAACCATTGGGGGCGGGGGAATAACGTGTGAAGGTGAATTGGAGCCCTGCGGTGGAGACAAAATCCAGATCTTTCATCCTGTACGTGAAGGATTGTACGTTCTGTACGTTCACACGATACTAGTCCATTTGATGGAGGCAGTCCCACTTCCATAGAGGCCTCAGGCAGTTTCCGTGACTCAGGAACAACAGGATGGTCAGAAGGCCGGAAGGGTTGAAATTAAAACCCAGCATCACTTAAAAGGTGCTTTGCCAGCAGGCAAACATGACGTCCAAACCGTGGTTAATGAACTGGTTCAGAGTGTTTGCGATAGCAGCTACACCTGCAGAAGGCGAGCAAACTTCCTCCAGCTCAAAACTCGGTCTCTGCCTCCAACATTGGGCTGGTTTCAGGGCACCAGATCCAGCCCCTGAAGGCCTTTCCAAGTTTTCTCGTCCCTGAACTGGGCGCACGAATCTACAGCACAGCGAGACGGGTGTTGCCTCTTTTAACGTCAGCGCCAAGTTCTCTCGGCACTTGTTTCCGACACCAAAAAGCTTTGCAAAAGGGTAGCAACGCCTCAGGGGGGATTGGGAAAGCGAAGTAGGCATGGGTGGGGGGGACACACCCCCCCCCCCCCCCGGGAGATTTCAACTTGAGGGAAACTTCCCAAAAATAAAAATAAAAATAAAAAAACCGAAGGAAGGAAGATCAAAACAACAACAAGAAATTGCTTTCCTGTTCAAAAACAAACAAACCTAGACAAGTTCCTGGCTTGGCTCGAAAGAGATGTTTAACTCGCAATGATAAAAATAATTTTTTTTTAAAAAAAGTTTTTTAATTAATGTTTGCAGAGGGCCTGGGTAACTACCTGGGCAGAGTAGATTTTTGCCTTCTTTAGCGAGGCAGTTTTAGTTTATTTATGTTTCGGAAGGTTTAGCCTGGATAGTGAATTTTTTTTTCCCCCCTCATGAAAAGGTGAGAGAAAGATCGAATCCCACTGGGTTGTCAATCAGAAGACAGAGAAAACCTGGTTACATCCTAGTTGCGGCTGAACTACAATTCCCACCAACATCCGAAGGATCAGGGGCTTGTCTCCTCCTGGCCAGGTGCCAGCTTAGAGAGGAATTACAACCCTGCAGGGGGGTTGTGAAGACATTTGGCCAGGGCAAAGGAAGCTTTCCTTGGTTTGAGTGAGAACGGGCACTCTTCCACAGTCCCCCCCCCCCCCGTGGTAAGGACTCACCTTTCCGAGGGAAGGGTCCTGCCATCCCCCACGAAGGAACCCATTGGGAGGGAGGGGAGGTTTGCCCGGCCAGGTGCAGATCCAGCTTCCCCTGCTTGTGTGATGGACGCCCGAACTCGCACCACAGCCCTGGAGGTGTGGATATGCCGGGCGGAAGCTGGGAGATGCATCCCAAACTGGTTTTTCTGCTTGTAAACTCGGCAGAGGAAGGCTGGGTCCTAATGCCCGAGACAGAGCAGTCACCGGTCAGCTGGGGATGATGGGGCTTTTAGAAGAGTGGAACTTTTGAGGATTGGGATGCCACGCAGGGAGAAGGTGCCAACGTTGGTAGCCAACTTAGCTGAGGGGTGTTAAGCAGGAGGTTTCAACTAGGGCCACTTTGAAGAATTGTGGGCTTCAACTCCCAGAACCTGGGACTTGGAAGTCCGTAAGTCTTAAAAGTAGCCACAGTTGCACACCCCTGGTGCAGTTTGCTAGTTGTGCAAGCACTGTTTCAATGTTCCCTGGGGATTATTATGGGGTATATGATCTTTGTGCCATTGTCACATTTTTATTTGCTAAGGACGATTGAGGCCAAGCTGGCCCTTACGGGCAGGAACCCTGATATATATATATATTTGCAAACATATAAATAAAAATATATCCAAGGGAAGAACAACATACCATTTCTGCCCTTAACTCTTCTGCAAAGGAAGCCAAAACAGGAAATCAAAATCTGGCCGGAGGGATCTGATTTCCACTGGGTCAGTTTTGTTTGTGGCAACCTTCGCCTGGGTTCACACATCGCACTCAACCACAAAGGTATGTCGACAGGCTATAACCCCAAATGGGCTGAACTCGCACACAGGTTGGAGAAAAGAAACGTGGATAAATACAGGAGCAGGATCGATGCCAGGGAAGGGCTGATGCATGTGCGAACACAAGAGTTTGTGCTTTACCGGTTGAATTAGCAGGAGGTAATTTCGTCCTTTCAAACAGGACAAAACCCAACAGGGAAGGAAAGAGGACCACGCAGCTTCAGTGGCAGTCGACCTTTGGCGAACAGGAGCAAGGGACAGCGGTCCGATTCAGGCCTGAGACTTTCACTTTTGGGGTGGCACAAAGAGGGCAAAACACAGCTGATTGTGGCTCCGGTCACAATTTACACCGACGTGACACCGTTTCTAGGAATGACCCAGTGTTTCTACACAACGTCAAGTCTGCTCCCAGCAACCAGAAATCCGCTCCTCCAGTGGTTTGCATGTCTAAAAATCGCTTTACTTTTTCTCCTTCGTTGAGAGCCAAATGAACCTCTCCATCTGCCTGTCCCAGGTAGGCCCAAATGGAGGGCCAGGTGTGCAAGTGGGGTGCATGGCTTTGGGGCTCCAAAAGCGCCCCCCCCCCCTTAGGAGCTACCTTAATAGAACATCGCTATTTGTGCAAAGCCCTCCTGACTTGGATTGTAAAATGCCGTGAAACCTGCACAAGTGTTAAAAAACTGGACTGTTCACACATTCATAGGAAAACATTTTAAGGAACAAGAGATGAGTGATTTTATTCATTATTGAGGAATTTAGCCCATGTCTTGTGGTACAGCAGGGGGGTCTCCAAATTTGGCAACTTTTAAGATTTGGTGACTTCACCCCCCAGAATTCCCCAAGTCTTAAAAGTTTGCCAAATTTGGACCCCCGTTTTACAGGATTCAGCCGTGCCAAAAACTCACAGGCCTTCGCTCAGCTGCGAAAGAACACAACGTTTTACATTTCATGCATGCACACGGGGGTTCAGTGAGATGCTTCGCACTTTTCTTTTTTTGCAAAAAATAAAAATAAAAATGCAGCTCTGGAACTCTAGCCTCAACCGTGCCTGAGCTAAGTTTCCCCCTCCCCTTCCCACAAGCACCAAGGAAAGCATTTCTGAGGAAATCTTAAAATCTCCTGTTGCCGCCAATCCATTTTGGGACAATTTGGAAGGAGGCACCAGGAAAAAAAGAAGAAAAAAAAAAGGATTTGGGGTTTCCCAAACACGTTTCTCCCCCTCCCTCGAGAATCAGAATTCTGCAATTTTGCAGTTGGTCAGTTTAATCTCAACCCCCCACCCCCCACCCCAATTAATGGCCGCAAATGCCGAGTTCAGCACCCCCCCACTATCCATTGCAGTGGGGATTAATTGCAGATTATGTCCAGTTAATTCAAAAACTGGCGTTTTAAGCCCCCAGCGACGACCCTCCCCTCCCCTCGCTGCCCTGGTTTTGGCGCTCACTTCTTCTTTTCTGGGCTGCGGCCGTCCAACAACCGGTCAGTGGCTATGCGGTTGACTCTCTCAAAGATGGCCTCGGGCGAGACTCCGGGGAGGCCCTGGTGCAGCGGGCACTCGTCCACCAGGCTGTTCATGGGGGTGGGGGGCATCAGGGTGTCTTCCTCGGCTGCCTCCTCGCTCAGGCGGGGAGCCTTAGGGGCGTCCTTGGCCCCACTGGGATCCCGCCTCCCGGCGCCTTGCGGATCCATCCTGGCCGGAGGGACGCATCTGGAGATCTCCGGCTGCATGCCGGGGCTGGTCTGAGTGGATCGGCCCCACTGGTGCAGGAATTCTTGGACGATGGGAAGGAGTTTCTTGCGGGAGGCGCCGATGTTGCCCTGCTGGTAGGCGCGGATGGCGGGGCAGGGGGTCTCCAGCCGGGAGAGGCCGAGGGACGGGTTGGTAGAGCCCTCCAAGGCTTGGCAGACCTGGGGAAAAAAGCCAGAAGCCCAGAAAAGGATTCAGAAGATCTTGCGACGTGGGGGAGACATATGCCCCCCCCTCCCCAAGACCCTGTGGGAATCTGGAAAGCTTTCGGCACCGTTTGGAAACCGGTGTACTGATGATGTTACCTAGCTGGGTCATGAGACGTCCGCAAGAAAACCACCCAGTTCAGAGAGCACCAAGGACTTCTCATTTCAACCCCGAGCAACAAATATCCTCTTCTTTTGAAACCAAAGAAGTTGCTAGTTATTCTCAACAGCCAGCTACAACAAAAGGTAGAGTAACCCTGAACATGGAAGCTCCACTCTGGAAGAGAACCATTCCGGAGGACCCAGATTCTCAACTAACCAAACAGGGGCCATTTAAAAGAATCCACAAGCTAATCATGGGAAAAAAAAACACCGCCTTCTCTTGCACCCAGGAAATGGGGCTTAAAGGTAGACTGTTCCTAAATGTGGAGGTTCCCTCGTGCTTGATAGGCCATATCTTCCCAGGGAAGCCTTTTACTCCAGATGAAATAAATAGTCTCCTTTGCAGAGGATTAAAACATTACAGATTGATAGAGTTGGAAGGGACCTTCCAGGTCATCTAGTCTAACCCCCCCACCCGTCCAAGCATCAGAGCGAATTCTGCCCAAACTCTCACCCCCCTGCTCCGTTTTTAACCAAACCCTTCGCAGCCCAGATTTTAACAAGCCAGAGGCAGGAGGCCCTCCCCTGCACCTCGGCCCCACCCAAGCCCAGCACCCACCTGGGCCAGAGAGCTGCCCGATACGACGGCCACAAAGCAAGGCAGGCAGAGGCTGTATTCCTCCACACCGTCCTGATCTCTACAGGGCGTTTTCGGCTTTGGCATAAAGAGGGAAGTTGGAGATCGGCTCTTTGCCGCCACCCAAGGATGACTCAGGGCAGCATCGGGGAGATGCCCCGAGTCCTGCAGGACTGGGGGAGGCTGGGGGTGGGGAAAGGAGGCCGTTGGGGGCAGAGATGCCAAAAAGGAAGGAAAAAAACGGGCTACCCAGCCGACTTCCATGCCAGCGGGCGCTGCCCCCCGCTTCTTCGCAAGGCCGGGCCAGTCCTGCTCCGGAAAGAAAAGCTTTCGGAATGGGGAACACTGAAATCTTTTATACCAGGCCTGGTTTTGCCTCCCCTGCCCCCCCCCCGCCCCCCTCTTTTCTCTCTACTGGGCATTCTGCCATTTCAACCATTCTACAAAGACCTCTATTTTTCATTAAATGCCTTTCTAAAGGCCCTGGGGCCCTTCCAAGCCCTTTCCAAGGAGCATTAGGAAGCTTGCAGTTTGAACCCGAAGCTACGGAACCAGAGGCCTTGGGCTGTGTGTGTGGGGGGATTGATCCACTTGATTCCCTTTTTTTGATCAAACCAAAAGCTGCCCCTCTGCTTTTGTCTGGCAAAGCTGAGCAAAGCCAACAGGTCCTAAAATCCCAGGGTGAATTTATTTGGGGACACTTGAATTAAACTTCTCGGCCTCAAGATTCCCGCATCCCATCTATTGGAAAACCGTCGGGGGTGTGTGTGTGTGTGTGTGTGCAAAGTGCAACCTCTACACCATAAATTCACCCGTTGGTGTTGAGGGAGTCCCATTGTTTCTGCAAGAGAACACCAGCGGGGCTTAAAATAAATTTTCTTTTTTAAGCATCGTTTCCTTTTGAGTCAACCTCATCCCGGAGAAACTTAGCATTAGCTAATATTTTCTCAGGCAGGGTGGCGGCCGATCTTCCATTATTTACGGTACTTCAATTATTTATCTCCTTGGCAAGATAGGTTAAAATGTAAATAAGTGAAGGGGGCGGGGGGGGGGAAACAAGAGCTGGTTTAGAACAGGAGGGCAAACAAAACTGAACGGGAAAGTGGCTAGTTTCAAATCTTGGAAAAATAACCGCAAATCCAAGATCGGGTGTTAGCGAGGACGGCAGGAAAATAATTCCAAAATAAACCGGAGGTTGAGGACAGAGAAGTGGTTCTGCATGCCAGCTGAGCAAATAATTCCTCCTGAAGGCACTTTGCGAGAAAGTGTTGCAAATTTTGCCTTAAAATAGCCTTTTTTTTTAAAAAAAAAAGAGGACGGAAGCAGCAGCAAGAAGCTCGCTTGAAAAGAAAACCAAATAAAACAAGGGATTTGGAAACGGGACGTTGATCCTCTAACCAAACCCAGATTGGGAGCTTCACCGCTGACAATATAAGGACGGTGATTCCAGCCCGAACATTTTCCTGATCGTTCCCCCTTCAAACTCCCGGCACCAACGCCTGAGGCTCTCGCAGAGGGAGGTTAGAAAGCGACAATTAAAAAAGCGACAAAGGCTGCATGGCACCTTTGTGCCAACGCCCCCCACCCACCCACCCCAGTTCTACGACAAGGGTGGATTATTCGAAGAAAGAGAAGGATTAAAATGGACTCCCATCCGCCTCTGAAATCCTTTGCAAAACCCGGCACTCTTATTTACAGGGGTCCGTGAAAGACGGGGAGGTGGGGAGGCAGGAGGGGGAGGGAGGGGGTGTGGGTGGGTGTGGCAAAGGGGGATACAAAAGACCCCCCCCCCAAATCCTTCGCTTACCACCCGGCTGGAGCTGCTGCCGCTGCCGCTGCTGTCCGGGAAGTACGATCATGCCTGGCGGCCCCCTCCCACCGTTGCCCCGGCTCTTCCGCCTCCCCACCTGCCTGCTCAGCTAACCGGCAACTGCAGGGACCTTTGGCTGTGGTTAATGAGTGACAGAGGCACCACGGGGCGCCTGCATGAGTGTCTCTCTGGGCTTCAGCAACCCGACAAGAACCGGCTCCTTTCCAAGGGGGGGATGCTGCTTGGTTATCTCGCGCCAGCTGCTGCACACACACACACACACACACACACACGAGAAGGCCAGATCCGGGCCGGGGGAGAGTCTCGAAGGAAAGGAACTCACCGCCTCTTGAAATGCGGCTTGCGGGCTATAGACGGCCAGCTCCCGAAAGGGCTTCTTGTGGTCCCCGAAGGAGATGGCCATGGCGATCAGGAGGCCGAAGCCTTTTTGGTGACAGAAGGTGGCCAGATCCTGTTCGAGGCCAGGCCGGTGCAAGAAATCCTGAGAAAAGGAGATGTAAAACAGGTTGGCCCAACCAGGCCAAGTTTTAAGAGGCGTGGACTTCAACTCCCGGAATTCTGGGAATGGAAGAGACCACACGTCTTAAAAAGTGGCCGAGGTTGGACAACCCTGGTTTGGTTTGGTAAACAAGGGTCCTCGGATACAAATGGGATTCGCTTAACAATATCGGCAAGAAAGGACATTAAACAAACGTCCTGGGCTCAACTACCGTCGTATGGTGAGGATGACCTGTACCTCTGCAGGCTTCACACAGACTCACCTGGAGACTCATGTACAGGGCGCTGAGGGCCACGGTGGCTGCTTTGCTGACCAGGCTTTTGAGGTCCTTCCGTAGCATCTGCTCGGTGGTGAGGCCTGTGGGAGGGGAAGAGTCAGTGGTTGGATTCAAGCCGGTTCACACCGGTTCACGAGAACCGGTTGTTAACTTTCTGAGCCGTTTGGTGAACTGGTTTTGGGGGGGGGGGGGGAATCATTAGGGCGGAGAACCGGGGGTTAAATTATTTGAATCCCTCCAGTGGGGTCTCCCAATTTTGGGGGGTGGGAGGAGCCACCAGGCATCCCTTCCAAGGGAGGTTGGCATCGCTTGGCATCACCCTTACCCATTCATTATTGGGAGATCGACAGCGTTCCCCTCCCTCGTCCTGCCTCCCAGTGAATTCCCAAACAGGCCAGGATGCGAAGCCCACATCCTGCCATCTTAGCTTGCCGATGACCCTGGCTGTGGGTCTTGAAAGGGAACGCCTCCCCCCCCCCAAGACCCACCGGAGACATCGAACTTGGCTCTCTGCAGAGCGTCGAAGACACGGTTCCTCGGCTGCAGCTCAGAGAACATGGACTCCAGTCGAGAGATGCAACAGGCGTCTCTGGGGGTCACCTTGCCGGCTTCGACGGCCAGGTTCACACAATCCAGCAAGATGGTTCCTGGCGGGGCAAAAACAGTAGGGTTCAAGGAGCCCCCCCCCTTTCACACGATCTTCCCTGGATGCCCTTTTCCCGATGGCCAAAGCGCCAAGGTTTGGGGTGAAGACCAGATTTCGCCCTCACCGTAGAGCAGGGCGGCAATTTGGCCGTCCAAAGTTGGCACCCGTGCCTGGAGGAGCCTCTCGGTCACCAGGGTGGTGCAGGAGCCCACCAGCTCGACCGTCACTTTGCAGGGAGGGGGCCTCTCCCACTCCAGGGGCCGGTGGTCCACCACCTCCACCACGACCGCCTCCAGCGCAGAGTCCTTGCTGGGAAGAGAGAGGAAGTGAAATCTGGCTTCCCCGCTGGCTTTGCTCGCTGGATGGTCGCAAAAGGGGACCCCGTGATCCCGGGAGCGTCATAAATACGAATCGGTTGCCAAGTGCCTGAATTTTCGTCACGCGACCAATGGTCGTTACGTGTGGAAAAACGGTCCTCAGTCCCTTTTTCCAGAGCTGTTGTAAGTTCAAACAGCCGCTAAAGCAACATCGTAAGTCGAGGAATGCCTGTGTGTTGTTTCTGCTGGTCCCAATGGCCTCCGAACCAGCTGACGAGAGATCTCGCTGGGATCTTGATTTGCAGGGATCTTGAGGGATCCACCCCCCACTCCCCCCGCCCCAGCTCTCTCCATCACGGCTCACTGGATCTCCAAACCGGAGGCCGAGGTGCAACGGATGGGCCAAGCAGCCCCGCTCTGCGTGGGGAGGAGCCCACCTGGGCAGGATGTGGTGGTCCACCAGCGTCAAGGTCAGCAGCCCGGCCTTGTGCAGCCCCGCCAGGTCGATCTCATCCCGGAAAACGAGGACTTTCTCGGGGATACGCTGCTGCAGGAGGAGGAAGGTGGTCTCGGTGCGCAGCGGGAAGTCGGCCCGGGGGATATTGAGGACAGGGACGAAGGCTGCCCTGGAGTCCGGAGAGGTCTGTGGGGGCCACAAGAGCATCGTGGGAACCCCTGACCAGGAAAGGTTCCCCTCACAACTCCCTGCTAGTTGTTCCCGGCTCTAGGGGGCGCTGCTCCTCTCCGTCACAAAGCCGAAGAAGAGCCTGCGCTGTCCAAAGACGTCTCCGTGGTCCTGTGGCCGGCAGGACTAAACGCCTTAGAAGGCGCACGGAGGAGCCCTGTTCCCTTCCCACCCAAGGTGGTGCCTATTTTTCTACTTGCATTTTTACATGTGTTCGAACTACCAGGTTGGCAGAAGCTGGGACAAGGAACGGGAGCTCCCTCCGTGATGCAGCGCTAGGGATTCGAACCTTTCTGATCGACAAGCTCAGCCTCGTAGCCAGTGAGCCACTGCGGCCCCTTTAAACAAGGATGAGCCACCCCAAACCAGACATTCCTGGTCCTTAATAAGACCAAACGGGACTTCCTTGAGGGAAGGGGCACAACCATGAGGTGGCAGCCAAATAAATTGCTTTAAAAAGAGCCCAAATGCCCACTTTGTCCCTGGAAAGGGGGGGAGGGGGGCAGAAGTCTCCCTATCCCCCCGGGATCCCCACTCACCCCCCCCCAGTCTGAATCCTGCAGACAGACGCCAATCTCCGCCCGGCCTTCCATTCCGCGACCTGGCATTCAGAGGAGATGCCATGTTGGGCTGGCAGGGGGGGCCTCGGAGAGGCATCAAAAGCAAACGAGGTGGGGGAGGGGCAGCCAGGGGGTCCAGGATCAGGCCCAAGGCACCCTAGCAAGAGGGGAAGCCAGGGCGGCACATCCAAAGGCTGACCTTTGCCAAAAAGTAGGCGAGGACCAAGGCGGACACCGTGGAGTCGAGATCGCACGCTTCATTGCCCATCACCGCGTGGACAGCCTGTCCGCTCTGAGAGTGATCCTGCCAGGGGACAAAGGAGGAGGTGAAACGAACCCAGCCACAGCTGAATTCGAGGGGAAAATCAGCCCTCGACTCCCGATCTCCCTGGGGCAGCGTCCGCAAAGAGGGGGCCATGCCAACTTTCAGAGGGCGCCCATTTCTAGGCGTCGCTCTCCTACTTGCCAACCGAGTCGAAGAGAACAGGATGATAAAGGAAGAAAAACTCGGGTGAAAAACATCCGCCTTCGGCTCTCAAGAGGTCCACTTTTTCTGAATTAACTCGCTTTGAGATTAGAAGCGGAGGTGGTTTATTTTTATTTTTAATTAACCAAGGGGGGCTTGTAAGAGGGCTGCCCCCTTTAAATCCCATTTTGCCAGCCATTTGGGAGCCCTAAAAAGCTCCCCCCCCACTCCTTCCTGGCAAACAAACCCTGGTTTCCCAGCGCCAGCAGAATGTAGGGAAACGTCAGCCGATAAGCCACCTTCAGATCACCTGTGGCTTCAAAGGTGGGATGTGGCCAGGTTTAGCGGCAGTGGCAGATGGACGTGGGGCAGACCGGAAATTAAAATGGGAGGGGGGGGGGTTAAAGAGCTACAGAGGGAGGGCAGGAAGGGCCCAACAGGAAGGGCTGCCCAGGTAGAAGCCACCTGGGCAAGCAAAGTTAATGACCGTGCTGCTTAACAACGGGTTTTCCGGTGTGGCCGTAACCGGAGGAATATCTGTATGAAACGTTCTGGACCTTAGGGCAAAATGTACGTCTTAAGACTTAGAGCGGGGGGGGGGGGGGGGGGGAACCCCCCCAGACTTCCCCTTTTAAGGTGGGGGAACTTCAACTCCCAGAACCCCCCCCCCCCAGGCAGCAGCAGGAGGAATTCTGGGAGTTGAAGTCCCTCCGTCTTAAAAGTGGCCCACTTGGATCATTCTGGTGCAGAGGGGCAGCCGGAAGCGCTGT